CCGGCCGTTTGTGATTGGTGCGCGGACGCGCGTGCGCTTGGAGCGCCTCGGCCCGCCCGCACACACGTGCTTGTCGCGCCCCAGGCTGCCGCCCTTAAAGAGACCGTGCGTTTTAACAGCAACAGCTGTAGAGCTGTGTCCTAGGGACAAGGCGGACCAAGGGGGAAGCCTCGTCCGGAGGCAGACCCCAGTCAAAAGTCAAAGAAGAAAGAAACCTACCTGTTGCAGGGGTCCAGAGAAGCAAGGAGGCGCACCAGGGAAAACCGCCCGCGCGGTTTGTCAGCCGTGCCTGCGTCCAGCCGGAGCCGGGTGACGTCACGAAGAGACGTCAGCTAGCGAAGTTAAAAACCGGCCCCGGGAGCTGAGGTGGGGGCGCGTCGAGTGGAGCGCGTCGCGTCGCGTTGCATCGCGCCGCCGTGGCTAGCATTGGCGGCGGCAGCGGGAGTGGTGGAGGATCTCCGTGTCAGGGAAGACCGGCGAGGATCAAAGGCACTGGCAGCAGAGCCGGCACCAGCAGTGAGAAGGGCCGGCAAGGGAGCTCCGGTCGGAGGCGGCAGGTGCTGCGACTTCAAGGAAGAAGCGGGTCCTGGAGGGGATAAGAAAGACCCCAGCCCGGGTGAAGGCGTGGGTCCTGGCCCAGGAGATGCGCCAGCTTAGGGGCATTAGGGGCGAAGGGGGCACAGGATTCTTCCCATGGTTGCCCCTCTTTACTTTGCTTTGCTTTCTTGTCCCTTCCTTCCCGCGTTTCTTGCTGCTTCCTTTATTTTGTTTTTCTCGCAGTGGGTTGTTCCCTTGGTGTGGGGCTTCTCCAGTGGTGAGCGTTCGGTTCCTGCCTTTCCTTCTTAGTTAGATCCATTCTGTTACGTGCCTAGAGCAGGGGAGCCTCGCACTCTACACGAGGCTCGGGGAATCAGAGATCCCGTTCGGAGGCGGAGGACCACATGAGAACGGGGCGACAATCAACAGTGTCCGTCGTGGAATGCGCAGGGCGTTGAGGGGTAGCCCCGAAGGCAGAGCGTCGCCAGACCCTCCAGCTCTGGCTAGAACCCAAGGCGCTGGTCGACGGAGCGGGACACGTGGGTACCGCGGAAGACATCAAAAGGGGCCAGTCGTAAAAGATCCTGAGGCCTGTCTCGTGGGTTGGTGTGTGGCTGGGGTTTACGGGAAGTTGGAGCCCCGTAGGCATCCGCCAAGACACGTGACAACTCTGGAGGCATCCTCCGAGGGGACCCCCTCCACTGGAGAACCATCTGAAGTCGTGGCAGGTGAGTTTGGGGGATGCCCAGAAGGTCATTGAGGAGCTCTCCAGGGTCTACATGAGAGCCCTAGGCTAGTAAGACCAGTTGCCCGGGCAAAGGTGGCGCGGGACCAGATCATCGAACGGAGACGGGTAAAAAGTGGTGCATTGGCTACAAACATGGAAAACCCAGACATAGCAGCCTATGCCAACATGCAGCCAGCAGCCATGGCCTCCCCAGATATCCTCGGGCAGAACCTACAGGTCCTAACCCAGATCTTAGACTCACAGCGGCAGATGATGGATCGCCAGCAGGATTGGCTCTGGCACAGCCTGGCATCCTTCAAAATGCCAAAGATGACCAGGGACGATGACCTGGAGGCCTACATCGAGGCATTCGAGCAGCACGCCCCTATGACGGGGCTGGACAAAGGGTACTGGGCCAGCCAACTGGGAGCGCTAGTGGTGGGCAAGGCCCAGGCAGCATGCTGAGCACTCCAGAGAGACGAAACCCGTGACTACAAGAGTGTGAAGGCAGCCATCCTGTACAGGTTGGAGATTAATCCGGAACGTTACCGCAAGTTGTTCCGAGCCAACAAAGGGCCCAATGAAAGACGGCCCCGAATACTATTACAACTGCTGTGGGACCTCCTCGATAAGTGGGTGAGCCCAGCGGGGCACAATAGAGAGGCCCTGGTGGATCAAATCCTCCTGGAACAATTTCAGAATGATCTGAAAGAGTGGACCCAGCGCTGGGTTTGCCAGCACTCCCTATGCATGTGTGACAACGCCCTGAAGTTGGTGGAGGCCTTTGTGGCTTCCGAGGTCAGCTACCCCAGGGAGAGGCGGAACCCAGGACCCCTTGCAGTGGTGCCAAAAGAGCCTGACCGTAGGTGTACGCCTAACCCGGGGGGCAACTAAGGACACCGTATGCTTCTGGTGTGGCCACTTCTCGAGAGAATGCCCCAGTAACCCCACCAAACGGTGGCTCCCCGATACCGGACGGAGAGTGCAAGGAGAGGGACAGAGATCTCGAGACCAGTGAGCCCATGGATTGCAGCTATGCGGTTGGGGGAGAAGACGTGACGTGGAGACGCCCCGTGGTCAAAGCCTGGGTGGAGGGACGCCCCATACAGGCTACGTTGGATTCAGGATGCGCCCAGTCCTTAGTAAGGGCCGACTTGGTGAAGCCCCGAGATGAGCGAAGGGCCAACCTGGTAAAGGTGGCATGTCTCCACAGAGAAGCCAAACGAATGAACCGGCAATGGGTGCATTTCCGTGTAATGCAGCATCAAGGGGAGCTTCTGGTGGGGATAGTGCCCCAGCTAGCCTGCGAAATGCTGCTAGGCCGGGATAGGGTACGCAATGCAGAAGTAGTGCGCAAGAAGATCCAGAACTGAGAGGGATGATTACGCGAAGTGGAGGAGAGTGAAGGACTGGCAGACGAGGCGGAGGACATAGACCTCAGTGACATTGCCAGCAGCCTACAGTTTCAAGAAGCACAAGAGGAAGACCCGGAACTTAGGACGCTGTGAGTACAAGCCAGCGATGCCCGTGACAGCCCAATTATGCAAACCGATGAAACCCCATGCTTCAAGGTAAGAAACCAACTTCTTTATCGCGTGCAAGGGGACAAGCAGGACAGGAATGAGGGCGCTCAGCTGGTGGTACCTACTCGATTCCATCAGGTTGTGTGGCATTTGGCACATTCTAGCCCCGCAGGAGGGCACCTGGGG